ACAAGTTAAGGCAAGAACAGTTTTAACAGAAAGAAGTAGTCATATTCCATTCCTTTTTTCAAAAAATGTTTCCTTACAACTCCTGACTTTTTCTGAAGTAGTTCCATTCTTAATAGTCTAATTTTTTTAACAAAATGATATTTGTTAGGTTTGTAAAACATACCTTTTATTTTGCCGAGGAGAAATCTTTAAAAAGAAAAGAAAAAGTTGTGTCTAGTTAGAGGTTTGGGAAAAGTCATTATGCGTGTAGTGATTATGCTTCATGAGTTTACCAATTTAAATCTTCAAGGGAAAGATTGACCCAGTTTTATTTAGTGTTTTACAGGGGGGAAAAAACCAAGAATCATTAAGTTCTAGAATCCTATAAATTTTGTCCACCCTATTTTTACTGTAGAAGGGGATACTTTGACCTCAGTTAACTGCTTGCCTACAGTCCGTTTTCCTCTGAAGACTTCCGGGGCAATAAATAGAAGAGAGGAATATCCATTTCCTTCTGGCTCAGAGTTGGTCTCCTGGCTGCTCCCAGGCGTGACATCACCTGTGTGGCCTGCTGTGATTTAGGATCGGGTCCACCTGTCATGAGCCCTTTCATCCTTCCCTACTTACTTCCTTTGCCTGAGCTTTGGCCCCCCTGAGCCTCTGTTCTGAAACACAGGTTGTGGTCACACTGGTGCTGATACACCACAGAGAAGTTGCAGAAGGCTCCAATGGTGCCAGCTTGCATAATTCTTCTCACTGCCCCCCTATATGGAATTGCCAAACGGTTTGAGCATCTCAGAAGAAAGGCACTATGTAAACACAAGGTATATTTGTTTTTTATTAGTTGTTTAGCTGTGCTTGTTATTAGCAGTTTTTTTAAAAAATGAGAGCACCTAAGGAAGATTTTGGTGACTATTTTCAGATGTAAAACCTTCATTTCAGACTAGTTCCTTTCAACTACTGTATCAAATATTTTGAGAAAATGTAAATTTTAGGGCTTTGCATTTGTGGTGTTTAACTAGGATGAATAGTTTCTTTTTAAAAAAAATCTCTTTTGAATAGAATGGGTGCTAAATTTCTCAGTATCTAGAAATAGAACTTTTGAAAGAGAAATTTATTTTACTGTGTGAGTAGCACACAGAGGAAATAAAATTATGTTGGTGTGTGAATCCACAGACAGAGGAAATGACACATTTTCTGAGCCAAAGACTTTTTTGCTGATTTTATTGAGGGAAGAAACATTAAGACTAAAGACAGAGTATCCTTAATATTAAATTTCTATAAATTAAAGACTAAATTTTACCTGAGTTTGTACATTGGGTTTTTTTTTCCCTGTAGATTAACTCTTTGGAGTCCCTTTTTCTGTGAATGATGCTGTTGCTTTCTCTGACTCCTGTACATATAAATAGACATCAAACGAGTCATAAAAGATGAAGGAAATTTCTGTATTGTCCACTGGACTTTAAACTGTGATAGAGTAATTTTCAGTTGAAATATGAAGTAGGAATGTGGTTTTTACTCCTTTGTTTCCTGAAATAAAAGCTATTAAAGTCATACCTCTATCCTGCATTTAGTTCTGCTCTTTTTCAACCAGAATTGTTAAAACATCAGATCATTAAAAAAAGATTTTTAAAAACTTCACCACTTCTACTTTTTAAGAAATCATTGAGATGAGGTAAAAGGACCTAGTTGTGGATGACGTGGAAAGCAAAGGAGATCTTGAGTGCTAACCCTGAGATAACTAAGGATAGATGTCCATGTGAGATTGAGTAGAGCAAAGGAGATCTTGAGTGCTAACCCTGAGATAACTAAGGATAGATGTCCACGTGAGATTGAGTAGACATAGGAAAAGAGAGATGTTAGTGCTAGAACTGCTATCTCTTCAGCCTTTAGAAAGACTTGACAATCAATGTCTGATGTATGAAGCCTATTTGAAGGTGTTTTGGGATCTGGTGGAGTTTTAGAATTAAATCTGCAAAACTCCTCTGGGGCCAGGAAAAAGAAACTGGCAGGCAAGTCATTTATGTTAGCACCTTAGTTCTCAGTTTTCCAAGGAGCTCCGGTGGCATAGTTCATTACATACTATGCTTCAAACCATCAAGTCAGTAGTTTTATAGGAGGAAGATGGGCAGTATCCTCCTGCAAAGACTGACAGCCTCCAAAAGCCTTTCAACAGCCCAGTACAGTATTACTGTGACTTGAAATTAACTCAGCAGTGGTGGGTTCTTGGCTTGTTTTTGTGGGGTATTTTTTTTCCATTATCAGTTTTGTAACTTCTGTACTTAAAATATTTTAAGAAAAAAATGTATGTAAACATATTTTTGTGTGTGTTTTTTAGAGTTGTTTAATGTATTTATTTTTTAAAAGAAAGGGAATAAATTTTTATTTTATACTGGTTTGCTTACAAAGTTCATCCACATTGTGTTTCACAGTTCATAATGTTTTATTATCTAAGTCAAAACCAGATTTACGTGAACTGATGTAGTTATTAATGCCATATCGTTTTGAATTTGAACCATAATTTCCTTCAGGAAAAAATCTAAATACATATCTTTACATAAGAAATCATGACTATTTGAAAGAATAAACTACTGTTGATAGTTGTTGTATGCCAGATACTCAGTTCTGACTCAGTGACCCTGTAAGACAGAGCTCAACTATTTCGTAGGGTCTCCAGGCTGTAATCTTTATGAACTACTTCTTTCTTCTGTAAAATTGGCTAGTTGTTTTAAATTGCATTCTTTCAAAGAATATCCTCTTGTGATATGCTTTTTGTTATGTGCTGTCAAGTCACCTGCAACTCACAGCTCATAGCTCTGAAGCCTTCCCTGTTCTGAGTCAGTCTCACTAATTCCAACATACCAACTTCCGTTGCCCAAGTTACTATATCAATCCATCTGACCCAGGGTCTTCCTCTCCTGCACTGTCTCTCCACATTTCTGAGCTTAATGTCCTTCCCCAAGGACTGGTCCCGCCTGGCCACGTGCCCAAAGTATGTGAGACAGAGCTTCAAAATCCTAGCCTCCGAGGAGAAACTTGTTTTCACCTTCTCCAAGACAGACCTATTTGTTTTCTTGGCAGTCCATGGTATGTTTAAGGCTCTCTCCAGCACCAAATTTCAAAGGCATCAGTTCTTCTTGTCATCCTTAATCATTGTCCAGCTCTCTGATATATAACAAGTAATTGCAAAGACCATGACCTGTATCAAGTGCACCTTAGTCTTTAGACTGATATTGCTGCTTCTCAGTACTCTGGAGAGGTCCCTGACTGCAGATTCTCCCAGTGCAATTCTTTTGATTTCCTGACTGCTGGTCCAAAGTGTTGATATGCTTAGATGTAAATTTTATTTCTACTAGTTTACAGCGTGAACAATAGAGTCAGGTGTTGTTCATTTCACTTGTCATTAGTACAATCATAATGACGCCATGACCAACAGATCTGCACCCTCTCATATCTTGTGCCATCCTCACAGTTTCTGACATACTCAAGCCCATAACAACAGTCACTGTGTCAATGCATTAGGTTGAGGGTCTTCCTCTCTTTCCTTGACCCTCCACGTTTCAAAGCATGATGTCCCTCTCCAAGGAATAGCCTCTTTTAGCAACATGCCTAAAGAATGTTAGAGGAAGTCTTATTATCTTTATCTCCAAGGAGCACTGTGGTGTAGACCTTACCTTATTTAGAGAGGGTCAAATGAAGATAGTGGTTTATAAATTGCATATGTTTAGGGTAAAGGTATATTTGAGGAAAAGATAAAGTTTAAAATTTACTCTGATGGCTCAGAGCATCATAAAGGGAACACAGGTTGGGAAGACTTGTCCTAAACAGATTGAGGTTTTGTTCCTTAGTAGAAGAAGTGAAATTTTTGAGGCCCTGAAATCACTGCATTGCCGTTTTTGCCCACTATGTCCTGGAGAACGTCCAGGGTCACTTTGGCATGTGTGACATGGGAGTGTAGCGGTCTTTAGTGTTTTCTTCTTGTTTTCCTTCTCTGACTCCTAAGCATTTTCATCTTCTTTCCCTTAGACCATATTTCACCTTTTTCTTTCTTTCTTTTTTTTTTATTAGTCCTATGGGGCCATTTATATCTCCTCAGCAAGTATCGTAACTTTTGTGTACTTAAGCCACCTAATACGGCTTCTCCTTGCTTCTCTGCCAGTCTCACAGAACTCACTCCAACAATAACCAATGCAGTAATATTTTTACTTGTGTTCTCAGCCTCTGAATTTGACTGTCTCCCTGGAATCGTACCTTATTATTACTGAAGCTCGGAAATTTGCCAAGTAGCTACTACAACCGTTTCATGTGGCTTGGTTATGTGGTAGCTCAGTGGATAGGGAATTGTGCTGCCAGTCCAAAGCCAGGCCATTTGAACCCATGAGTTGCTCCAAGAGAGAAAGATGGGCAATCTTTTCCTGTGTTTTTCGCAGCCTCTGAAAAACCACTGGTGGGTCAGCTCTGAGTCACTTTGACACAAAATCAGTGAGTGAGTGACGTACCAACCAGTAGACCTATTAGCTCCCCTCACCTGAGAAGAAATTTTCTTTTAGTTTCCAAAATGTACTTAATAATTGGTCTATAACAGTGTCTGGGTTGAAACACCCATTTCCTTTGTCTGGGCCTCTGACGAATCAGTGTTTACTTGGCTGACTTACAGATTTCATTTACTTTTCTTTTTTTCTTCGTTTACCATTGACGAATATTGTTATTGCTCCTCCTGCATTTTTACCATGGTGGCAGGAAGGAAGAGAAGAAGGGAAGTGGGATGGTCATCCCCAACCATTGACAGAGTGGCAGTGCAGAAATGGGGCTACCTTGTCTTTATTTCCATCTGTATGGAAATCTGTTTATTTCCATTTTCCCTTTTCCTAGTCACTAACAAAGAATATTTCTCTAAGTTTCATAGGCTATCTAGAATGTGTGTATATTTGTTTGCGTTACCCTTGGAAAATGTTCACTAACGTTTGCTTGGGGTGTGAAGGTAATTTCTATTCTTCTATTTTCTGATTTCTGAACCTCAGGAGAAGGTAAAGCTTGATGCTGAAAGGGAAAAACTAGAGAGGCTTCAGGAGCTTTACTCCGAGCAGAAGACCCAGCTGGACAATTGTCCTGAGTCCATGAGGGAACAGTTGCAGCAACAACTGAAGAGGGTCAGTAGCCACAGGAATGCACCAGCTTTTTGCTTTTTTTTTTTTTTCTATTAAGGTCCGCCAGTCCCAGTTGTACTCACATAGCCTACAATTTGCATAAATTCTGGTCTTTAGATACTTTAAAAATGAAAATGTGCATGCTGCCAGTATGTGTAATTGTGTGCTAATCAATGTAAACATTTCTTGTTAAAATCCATCACTGAATTTATAATGGAAAAATAATCCTGGAGTTACTCTTTTTAACAAGAGGGCTGTTCCTGGCTTTTAATCTATACCTACATTGTAACATTGAAATCAATAGACATCTTTCCCTTGATTCTTGTGATTATTGTTTATCCTTATGTGGGTTCCCCCCCCCTTCTTTTTCCTGGCTTGGTTTGTACTCATTCAGAAGATCATCCCATTCTCTGGTTTACTTTCCTTCCCTACCCCACTGTTTGACCTTTTCTTTTCCTTTCAACTTCTTACTACTAGCCTTGAACTCATTAGCAATAAACACTGCAATCTAATACAGGTTCCAAATATGCAAAGCATTGCTATTACCCTCAGAACTTTCTCATACACTCGCCACTTTTTTCAGAAATGAAATGCAGTATAGACTTTCTAATTTAACCTTATCAGCAGTGTTTGCACATCTATGTTGATGGTCTTCAGAAAACTAGAATTCCTCAGAAAATTGTTTCACAAACACTGCATTATCACTCAACTTCTTCACAACTCGATTACTTGCTGTAAACTCAGGTCTTGAGGAAACATCATTACCAGTCTTGAACTTTTAAAAGAGTTGCATAATTGTGATTGGTTCTATATGAATAACAATTTAGACAGATAAGAAGGAAGACTAATTTAATGTTTTTCTATCTGTAGCTTCTTGAGAATGGGCAAATTGAAATAACAGCTAAGATGACACACATTTGAAAAGTCTTAAAATAACTTCTTGTTGTTGTTGTTGTTAGGTGCCGTCGAGTCGCCTGCGACTCATAGCGACCATAAAAAAATATTTCATTTCTTTGAGAACATCACCATTGTTGTTGTTAGATGCCAAGTGCTCCTTGGAGAACATCACTAGGTAAATTAGAGGTAAAATCTTTCAGTGTGTTCCAGAGATTGAAACTTCTTAATAAAAATTATCGAATGTAGCCAGGTTAAACTTCAGCACTGCAGTTTTTATTATTTCTTATATTTTACATTGTTGGATCAAATACTATTTCTGAAATGTTTCTGCTTCTTTGCTCATTTTATTCATAACATGAAAAGTTATATGAAAAGAGAAAAATTCATTGTCCACTAGTGCCACAATGGCCTGGAAATCCCATGATTAAAATGATTGGAGGAAAAAATATTTGTAGAATGATTTTAGTTTTTTGAAATTTGTCTACATTTAAGCATTTATAGAATATTCTAATCTCACAAAAGAGATTAGGAAACTGTTTTATTTGTGTAATGTTTTTCAGCTCTCCCAGGGCTAAAGGTTTTCCATAGATTCATCTGTCATTGTTTAGTCAGGGTCAGCAGCATGGTTAGATGTGGTGTTTTGCCCTTTCTCTGACTAGCCAATCATTGTAGTCTTTGTAAACATTACTTTAAAGTATCTAGAGTTTATGAATAACCTTTAAACAGTTGATATAAATGATTATTGTTTCTTTAATCTAGATTCCACAGGATAAGATATATATATATTTGTAATTTCTAAGAATATTTACTACACGCAAGTAACAACACAGGGTCCTACTTCTCCTTCCACTTGAAGTGGAATGTTAGGTTCTGATCACAGGACCCTTTCTTTAGGAGAGAGAACTGGTTTATGGCAGGTACCTAATGGCTTATACCTCTTATTTTTATAGGGTTCACTAACTCTCTTCTTGGAATAATATCTTAGTAATCTTCACCAGTCCTCTTGAAATATAAACAAACAAAAACCGAGACTCACTGCCAGTGAGTCTACTCATTCAACTCATTGTTAATTCCAGCAATCCTCTAGAACTGAATGAACTTGCCTCCATCATTTCTAAGATTATAGTCTTTATGGAAGCAGGCTACCACGTCTGTGTCCCTCAGAGCAGCTGAAGGTTTAGATTTGCCAACTTCTAAAATGGAAGTAGAATGCTTAACAATTCCACCACCCAGAGTCCCTTTAATCAATGTAAAGATACTTTGGAGATTGGGTTGATATAAGAAGTATAGCATAAATCCATATTTTATGTGTAAAATCCTCCCCAAATTTCATCTTAAGTATTTAAAGCAACATGTAGTTAAGGAATTCATTTACTTATGTTTTGTGTGAATTGCCACCTATTAAAGTTTACCATAATAAACTTTAATAAGTCAATGTTTTTCCCTAAGAGAACTCCAGTCATAGTAGTAACTTTCCTATGTTACCATAATTTCTCTTCTGATCTTGAATAATTTTGAATACCACTTCATTTCAAAGGTTCCCCAAATCATTTAAACGACATTTAAAAAAAGCCAAATTATTTAAAAAAATTAGATAGCAACTAATGCAAAATAAAAAAAAATTGAAAGAAAGTTTTCTTAAACTATGTGTTGTTTCAGATACTTTAGGTAAACTCTCACAGTGGTTTTGCCTGTAAAATATGGGTTTATGACTGGGCTTCTTAAATCCGAATCATTGCTTTATTAGTCAGAATGTAACATTCACTGATGGGGATTTAATGGACATGGTTGAAATGTAGATGATATGCGCCCACCTGTGGAATCATATCCTGAATATGAGTAATGCAGCAAAGAAGGCTCATTACTGGTCAATGCAGGATGAGATCCACTATTAAATGGAGTCTCATGGCTGCCATAGTTTTCGTGTGTTTCCCTAACTGAATTGATGATTTTTACCTTCTAATTGATTTTCCTTTTTAAAAATCTGTTAAATGGCACCTATAATTGTTGTTGCTAGGTGCTTGCTGTAGAGTTGGAACCAGCTCTTTGCTGGCTCTCCAGCAGGTTTTCAGAGGCTGCAAATCACATGGAATGAGATTGTCCATCTTTCTCCGGCTGAGTAGCTAGTGGATTCAGACAGCCTGCCTTCAGGTTGGGCAGTGTAACTCCTTACCACAGCTCCCTTATCTATCATTAGAAAAATCTTTTTTTTTCTACTGTTGATTCTACAAACCTGTTTATCCTTTAATAATTAACAACTCATTCAACCTCTGTGGTCCTCAGTGTCTTCATGTAACAATGATGATTTTAGGCGCTTTTCATGTGTCCCACAGTTAAAAAGTTGTGGGCTCAAGAGTATAAGGAACCCTGGTGGTTCAGTGGTTAAGTGCTTGGCTGCTAACTGATAGGGAAAAAAGAAAGGCCTTGAACCTGCCAGCTACTCCGTGGGAGATGGATGAGGCACTCTGCTCCCATAAACATTAAAACCTGGAAGCTGTATGGGCATTTCTGTGCTTATGCAGCATAATCCACTCAACGGCTGTGACTTTGATTGGTTTTATAGAGTGTAACACATTTCAGTTTGATTTCTAGAGTTGGCATTGAGTTGTCCTGGGCTATTAGTGTAGTCTTTCTTGGCCATCTCAAATCAGTTCTCCTCTTTACACAAACACACTGCCCTCCACGCCACTAAGCAAAAGAAAGCATCTGTCTATAAACTACTGCCATATAAATTCTCAGTTTAAGTTATTGGAAAGGAAAACAGAAATGGATTGCATTTTCTTTAGTGCTGCTGATGTATTTTCTTTCATGTCTGACCTGTGAACTTGCTAAGCAGCAGAGCTTTGTAATATTCTTTTAATAATAAAATTTAGTTAAAATATTTATTCACCCAGTCAATGAGGAGCCCTAGTGACCTCATGGGTAGGAATTGTGCTGCCATCCGAAAGGTGGAGAGTTTGAATCCACTAGCTGCTCCTTGAGAGAATAATAGGCAGTCTCCTCTCAGGTGATTGGCAGCCTCTGAAAAGCACGAAAAGGTCAGTTATAGTTTGTGTCCTGCCCAATGTCAGTGAGTGCGTGTAGTGAGTTACTCTGTTGTACACTGCACTCTGAACTTCCTTTTGTATGTTATTCTGTCTTTAACTAAGTAAGAGCTGCATTAAGACTGTGGTTAAGGCATTAACCTATTAACCAAAAGGTCCGAAGTGTCAGCTCACCTCTGTGTTCCTTGGGACAAAGTTAGTCTGCATTCTGCTCTCATAAAAATTTACACGAAGTTTTGAACTACCCTTTGGGGTAATTCTCTCCCATTCTATAGGGTTACTATGAGTTGTAATTGGCTCAGCAGCAGTCAATGAGTGAATTAGATCACTACTACCCTAATTCCCTCCATCTTATAGTTTTTACTTCAGCATGTAAGTGTTCTAATGGTTTGGTAGCTTGATTGAATAATTATATCAATGAAATTTGAGTATGGAGTTTAATTTTTTTTTCAACTTTCTTGCCTAGTGTGCTGTTAATGTTTTTATTCAGTGACTCACATATTCACTGAAAATATGTTCATGACTGTATGGCCTTCATTAAAAGAAAGTTAAAATTGTATTGAATTGAAATGAAATATGCTATTTATTAACTAGACGTACAGAAAGGTGTCCTTAGCCATATTCTCACTTTGAAACTTTTTTTAAGCCAAGGTTAAATTTAAAAACTTATTAATTTTAGTTATATCTAGCCACAACCTTAATTGAAATATCTTCCAAAAAATTTGAGTTCATATATCTGTTTTGTTTCAGAAATTCAGATCAAAAATTTTGTTTCAAGACATAAGTTTAAGCTGTGTCTTAATTCCTTAAGTAGTGTCCAGACTTGAGTAAAATTCATGAATCCCTTTACAAATTACTGGAGAACTAACAAGTAAACGTGGAATGTCGCTCTATGAAATTGAAACCAAAGCCACATTCTATGTGACCACATAATACATAAAGAAGTGCTAAGAAAGTTTTTTCAGCTTGTATTTTTCTTGCTCTTAAACTTTGAATCAACATACTGAGTTGGCAGAGTAACCTTGTTGTTATAGTGTTAGTTAAGCTCTGATAGCCTAGTGGGGAGAAGCTGTGCGGCAATTCCGAAAGCACAGAGTTCAAGGCCACTAGCTGCTCTGTGGGAGGTGGATGGGCACTCTCCTCCAGTGCAAAAAAGTGCCTCTGAAAACCTACCAGAGGGTCAGTTAAGAATCGATTACAACTTGATGGCACACAATAACAACAATAGTTTTAGTGGTAATAACAAATAGGCAATAGACCTTTTGTGATTCCTCCCCAGAAGACTTGTTCCAGAAAATACAAATATATTCTATTTAATGGAAAACTTAATTTATCATTTGTACAGAAACTGAGTGTTGGAGTGATAGAAAGGATTTAAATAATGATCTGGAGCTAGTTTTTCCATTTCTTTCTAAAAAAATTTTTTTAGAAAAAAATACATTTTTCAATTGAAAAAGAACAAGAAACTTCTATTTTACCTGTGCATCAAGGCTCTGATAGCATCGTCCATTGCTAACTAAAAGGCTGCTAACCAGATATCTCTGGCTCAAGAACCTCCTCCACCAAGTGACACTTTGGAAGAAAGATGGGCACTCTCCTCCAATTATTATTTCCAGCCTCGGAAACCTGATAGAGAGTAGTTATGAGCCATGTTCAACTGGATACCAAAGAGGTTTTTGTTTTGAGTTTGAGATTTAACCTACGTAGTTCTTTGACCAAAATAGTACAACTACCTTTCCTTTGGCCAGATTATGTAAAAATTATGTTTTATTTTGTTTTGTTTTTTTAAATCTTCTACACATGCCACATTACAGTTCTGTATCATGTTACAACGTGTACTCTTCTCTACACAAATAAGAACACGTGGATGTGGTGATTCAGAGCCTTATGCACCTCAGCTTGGAAAATCCCTGTGCTCGACTACCTGGTTTTCCTTATACGTCCTCATGATTCTCTCCAGACTGTGATGCTTAGCTTTTGAATCACCTTTTGTGACTGATGGATACTGTGATTTCACTCATTCCAGTAAAAAGCTTATGTGTTGTTAAAGGTTTAGAAATGGCTTGGAAGTGTTCAGGAGGCCTAGTTTAAGAACCACAGTCTCTAGAATCACTTGATCACCCTCAATGAAGCTCTTGGAACACACAGGATAACATGCCATATTTAAACACATACAACAAAAAGTCTCCAATTTTAGGGAACCCTAGTGGCATAGTACATAAGGATGCATACAATACCCACAACTCTCCTAGGAAACACCCTAGGGAATGGGTGAAATCCAACCCATCCCAACCCAATCCTCTGCCATCAGGACCATTGCAACTTGAAGGGATCCTGCATTGGATTTTCAAGGCAGTAAGTCTTGATGAGAGGAGACTTTCCATCTTCCTCCTGTGGAGCTGCTGGTGGATTCAAGCCTTTGTTATTTTAGTTAACAGCCCAGCTTGTTACACAGGGAATTACACAGTTTTAAGAAGGAAAACATTTAAGGGAAAAATACTGAATGTGTGTGTGTGTGTGTGTGTGTGTGTGTGTGTGTATTTGGAGCACTGGTGGTGAAGTGCTCTATGTAGCTAACTCAAAGGTCAATACTTTGGATCCACCAACCTTGTGTGGAAGAAAGATGGGCAACCTTAGAAACCCTGTAGAGGGTTGCTTCAAGCCATACAAGACTTGACGGCAGTGGGTTTAATTTTGGTTTCTGTGTGTGTGTGTGTGTGTGTGTGTGTGTTTCCCTATCAATATGGTCATTAGAAAATATTTAACAAGAAATTGAAAAGGAAAAGAAAAAACTTTTTCTCACACTTTTAAATATAAAGAGTGTGTAATACTTTCTTTCACATTCCTGTGGATTGTGTTTTGTGCCATTAAGTGTGTATTCCTAGAAACAGTCTGTATATATGATCTGTATGAATCTTTTTTTTTAAATGTAATGTCTATGTTAACAAACTTTTTATTTGAAATAGTATGCAAAAGAGTTTTTTCAGGAGCTCTTGTGGTCTAGTGGTAAGGAGTTGCACTGTAAACTCAAAGGCACTTGGTTTGAATCCACTAGCTTCTCTCTGTGAGAGGATGGGTAGTCTCCTCCCTTGTGACCGCCTGCCTCTGGAAACCTGCTGGAGGGTCAGCTATGAGTCAATTCTTAATCAACGGCCCATAACAAGAACGTCATATCATAGTCTACAGATAAATTTAGGCCATAATAATCTAGACCATATTATTTTCATTAAATACTCCACAGAGATCATACAAGGTTCAGATCTATGAGTGAGTCATAGTCGACTTGATGGCACTTAACAACAAATACATATAAAGCCAATGGTCCCTATGTTCAGAGAGCAGTGGAAAACAGATGGGAGGTGAAAAAAGTCCTCCTCTTGAAGCTCCAAAAGAGATTGTTACCGTATTCTAACTCTGGTCAGTGTTGTAATGGGGAAGATGTTTTGAACTGTCTTCTTTTAATAGTTGCTTCTCCACATTGAGAAGCCTGCAGCCATTCTGTTGTGTCTTGTTCTCATTCCCTTTTCCTCAAAGGATGCTGACCTGTTGGACGTTGAGAGCAAACACTTTGAAGACCTAGAATTCCAGCAGCTTGAGCATGAGAGCCGTCTGGATGAGGAAAAAGAGAACCTGACCCAACAACTCCTGCGTGACGTGGCGGAGTATCAACGGAATATTGTTACCAGAAAGGTAGTATTGCCCAGGTTGTTAAATGTAAAAAGAATAATAATTAAAAACATGTTCCCTGTGTGTGATGAAAAGGGTGGTTAGTAGAGATTTAATTTGTGTCTGCCTACCTGTGTTTGTATCTGATACTACACTTGATCTTAGCCAGAAGGCCGAGAAGCGATCTGTGTTTGTATCTGAATATCTCAATGTATTTAATCATGAGCATCGTATTTGGGGAATTATGAGTGCCACCATATACTGCTTATGGGCAATGGTGCCCCAAACAAGATACATTGATTTAATATAATCATCATTGTTACATAATGCATTTAAGAATAATATTCTTTTTTTATTTAGTGTGGAAACCAAGGCATAGAAAATCAGAAATTTAGAAATTTGTTTTAAATAACTTCCTTTTGCAGCCATAGTAACTGGATTCAGACTAATTTTATGAAAATGTTATGTCTGGTCTAGAATTTCCTCTTTTTATTACTCAGTGACTGTCAAAGCTGTCTAATGCCTGATTGCCATTAGAAATAACTCAGAGAATTCTAGGTCAATTCTCACCCCACCTGCTCTCAAGAATCCAGAGACTCAACCTAGAATTTAGCACTTGCTGCAGAATTTAGAATCACACTACCCAAGCTCTGCACTAAGCTGATAAAATTAGGGAACTAAAAGGAAAAAGTATCTCTTTAACGCTCAGATAAAAAAGGAAATTCCATTGTTTTCCCCCACGAGTATCTCCCAAGATGATGTTTTTTTTAAAAAAAAAAAATCATGTTCTAAACCAAGATTTCCTGTTTATTTCCAGGCACTTCAAAATAAATTTTTAAACCACTGGAATAGCATTGGCCTTAAGTAAATAAAAAATTTTGAGCTTAGCAGGTAAAAGAAAGTGTCACAGTTTTGTGTAATATCACTGCTTATGTACTTTTTAAAAAATACTGATTTACATACAAAGTTCATAAAGTTCGTGTGCATTATTTTTCACACCAGGTCTCTCCCCTTTCCTTTACCCACCTCTCCTCCCTCCCTCCACCCATCAAATTGTGTGACCCTATGACTAAGCCTCCCCTCTTGGATCCTCGTACTGGTTCTACAGAAATGGTCTTATACTGTATTTGTCCTTATGAGACTGAGGTAGTTGACTTCATTATGCTGGTGCCTACGTACTTTGAGTATGTTATCAGGAGGGCTTGGTCCCTGCAGAAAAGCATCATTTTTGGTGAGATAGAGGGTCAGTGAAAAAGAAGAAGGCCTGCAGTGAGCTAGATCGACGTGGTAGCTGAAGGGTGGGCTGACGCACAGCAGTGATTGTGAGAATAGTGCAGGACCAAGCAGGGGTTTCTTCTGTTGTCACTGTGAGTTGGAGTTGACTGGACGGCATTTAACACTAACTCCAGAATGGTTGTTCTAAGGCACTATTTGGTACAATAGTTATAATTTGGCTACTCACTGAAAGATCAGTGATCCAAACCCTTTCTCTGAGGGAGAAAGATGAGACCATCTTCCTGTGCCATTCTTGAAGGCTCTCTGTCCTCTTAGGGTTGCTGAGAGTTGAAATTAGTGGCAGTGCGCCATCAATTCACCTTGATTAGAAACAACCAGATAGCAACCAGCAAAAATAACAACTAATCAGCTAAAAGAACTTGCTCTTATGTGTCATGGAGTCACTACAACTCATAGAGACCCTATGAGCAATAGCTGAGTCCTGCTCTATCCTGAGCCAATCTCAATGTCTCTGACACACTTGCTCCTATTACCCCAGTCACTGTGTCAATCCATCTCATCCAGGGTCTTCCTCTCCTGCGCTGACTCTCCACCCTTCCAAACACTATGTACTTTTCCAAGGTTTAGTGCCTACTGGCAACATGCCCCAAAACCGTGTGTTAGGCAAACTTTCAGAATCCTTGCCTCCTATTCTAAAGGCAAATGGTTTAAACAATCTCTAACTGAAACATGATCACAGTTACTCTTTCTCCCCACCCCTTGTTGTGTACCATTGAGTCTGATCTGACTGGCACACAGGAAGAGATTGCCCCTCTTTCTCCAGGAGAGAATCTGGTAAATTCGAACTTCACACTTTCAGGATTGCAAAGTAGCTTCTTGCCACTAGGCCACTAGAGCTCCTTGATCACTGTTATTATTCTAAGGACCTTATCTCTTTTCCAGAACAAGTTGGCAGACGTCTGAATATCTAATGTACTTTTGTCCATTACCTGTGATAATCTCTTTTCTTCCAGGAAAAAATTTCTGCATTGAAAAAGCAGGCCAGTCACATTGTCCAGCAGGCTCAACGGGAACAAGATCACTTTGTGAAAGAAAAGAATAATTTAATAATGATGCTGCAAAGGGTAAGTGTCTTCTCATGTGCACAGGCTGCAATAATACACAGGTTGCAATTAGGAAGAGTTGTCTTCTTCAAAATAAGTGCCCTTTAATTATTGATATCTTAATAAGCTAACGAAGTCTTTTCTATAAATTTTTATATAATGGTGAATGTCTTTAATTTAGGAAAAATTTTAATATATTTTCATTTATTCATCCACATTAATAAAATGATTATCTGTGAATTAATAACGATAATTCAGAAAATAAGCAGAAGCATTTTCTTCTTCATGACATTTTTCTCATTGTGTGAAAATTGAGATTATCAAGAGTCTACACTTTTTAAAAATTTTCTTCCTCTAGAAAAGCATACTTTTCTTCCAAAGGGTAAATTACATTTGAATATCAGTGGAAAGAAGGCTTCAGGAAAATGTCTCACTTTATTCCTGCCTAACTTTTTGGCTCAGTTGCTCTGGGGTTTTGAACTCCTGTTATTGGCGTGGACTTGTTCCTGGAAAGTGTCCCACTAAATTAAGCTTGACTCAACAGCATGGGTAGACACCCTCATCCAGGGTGGTTAGAGAAGTTGCAGGGCTGATTCTAAACACGAGATTGTGTCCCTATTTACCCAAGAACCAGGAATAACAATATGCAAAGCGAATCTTTTGTCCAACCATTTACTGTCAAGTTAATGCTGACTTATGCCAGCCTCATATGTGGCAGAGTTTTACTCTGCTCAGCAGTTTTTAGTGGCTGACCTTTTAAAAGTAAACCTCCTTTCACTTAGCAACTGAACACATTAAAAGTGCATTAAATGCTTATGCCATCTAGAACTTCTCTTTCCCCAAAGACAATAAAAAGAAACCTGGAGCCTGTTTTCTTAGCATGGACCCTTATCTGAGAATGCACCAGAACAATGGCTTATAAGACAAGGCTATTCCCTGGCTCCAAATAGAAGAAATGTCATGGCTGGAATATAGCCTTTTTATACATTGAGAAAACAGAGAAAATTTGTTATTCACATGGAATTTTTAGTCTACTTCAGGTCCCTCTGCAACCCATTCAAATCTCTGTTGACCTCCTTCTTCCTTCAGTTCTTGGCAATCAAAGAATGGAGTTGAAAATCAAAATGAAGTAGAAAAATCAAAGAATTTTCTATCTCTGCTCCAAGGGTTAGTTCTGACTCCATTAACTTCTCTCACTTTTAATATTCAAAAGCATAGTTTAAATCCAACACAAAAGAACTCAACTCATTGCTGTTGAGTTGGAACCGACTCATTGCTGACTCTCCAGCAGATTTTTGATGCTGTATAGTTTATGGGAAGAGATTGCCCATCTTTCTCTCAAGGAGCCACTAGTGGATTCAAACTGGCAGGAAGACTTAGATTAGCAGTGGAACTCCACAGGGCCTATGCACCCAGAACCCCCTGGTTTCTGAAAATTTAGCAAAGGGAAAAAATATCTTAGTAATGGATTTATACAAATAAGTAAGCACAATTATAGGTACACCATTTCCTGATTAAAAATTAAAAAAAAAACATTTCTAGAAAAATGTTAGGATAGTACAGGATAGAGCAATGTCCAGATCTGTTGTTTATAGGGTCTCCACATGTAGTCAACCCGAGGGCACCTAGCAACAACAAAATAGTACAAATTGTTGCCTATATCACTAACAGTTTTATTTTTTCAAGTTGACTTGTAGATTCATCTCAATCCTAATCATTATCTAAACAAACTATTTTTGGAGAAACTGTCAACTGATGCTAAAGCTTATATGAAAATGCAAAGTGTCTGTGATCCTCATTAAGACTGATTGCTGTAGAGTTGATTCAGATTTATAATTCACCTTCCATTGAGCTATAAAACAACTGATTTCAAGGCTTAGTATAAAACTATAGCAGTTAAGACTGTGTGGTGCTGGCATACAAATAGGGATAGATGATAGATAGATAGATAGATAGATAGATAGATAGATAGATAGATAGATAGATAAAACTGATTAGTCTAGAAATAGACTCAAACATGTATGTTGATTTCTGACAGAGCCTCCAAGACAATTCAACAGGGGAAAAAAGAAAGTTAACACCATCTTTACCCTACCCATAGAAATTCATCAGAAACAGGAAACAAACCTCATTGTGAAAACATCAATGGTAACAGCCTCCAGAAGAAAGGAGCACCAATGTATCTTCCAGGTTTTGGGGAAAGGAAAGAGTATTGAAAGAACTTCTAACAAAGAACTTGTATTCAGGAAATTGAGAAAACTTCTGCAGTTCACTAATAAAAAAGTACCCAGTAATCAAAATAAATCAAAACTTGATCAAGCAGTTCACAAAAAGAGTGATAAATAAGTGCCCTGTCATGAAAAAATAATCATTAGTTTTTAGATAAATACAAATCAATCTGATACTAGCCAACTTTAAGAAAACAATATTTGGGCTATGTTTTTTAATTAACTTATATAATGTTAAATCACAGATTTTAAGCACAAAATTAGATGACCTATAGAAAGATCAAGACTACTTCTTGATCCCAGAAAGTCTTAAGCATAGTGTTTTGAAACCCATCTATGGTACTACATTTACCAGTGAATAGGTTATTCCTTTCTATTTTGAAGTTGTAGTCTATAAGTCTATAAACAGATCGCAATTTTTAAAATTTCTTTTTTCTCTGTTATCCTGATGATTGAATTTGAGGTAATCTCTAGTTTCTGGGCTATTTTGAATAAAAATGCTTTATATAGTCTTACACAACTTTTTTTTGCAAAGACATGTTTTTGTATTTATCTTATAAATGTTCACTAGTGGAATTACCAAGTCAAAGGATAGGTGTATGTTTAACATCATAAAAACAAAGCAAAACTGCCAAACAGCTCCTTGAAGCAGTTGTACCATTTTCATTAACAATATATGACAGTGCCACTTGCTCCCTATCCTTAACAACTATATGGAACTTTTACCTTATAACTTTAGTCATTTTAGTTGGTAATGATGTTTAGTACTTTTTATATGCTGTACCAATCATTTTCCAGAAGAAAATCTATCACTGCTGTATATGACCAAAAGGTACTTGATTATTTGTTGCTTATTTGGGAGGGATAGAAAATACTGGCTTTAGAAAATATGCCCACAAATAAGGGCTGCAAAGGACTCCAAAGGTCTCCATTCCATTCTAAATTCAACCAAAGCAGCCTCTCTCTTGCCTTTGTTCTTTTTTAAACATACTGAGATTCTATAAATGTCTCCAGACTTTATTTGAAAGCAGTCGTGCATCACATCACCTCGCAGGTGAGATCTTGGATGCACAATTTGAGATTTTTATAGAGTAAAAATAGAGTGAGGAAAATGTCTGGGATATTGGGTACTACTGTTCCTGTGGCACTTACTGGACTTCTAAGGTTGGCTCTCAGCTTAATAGAGGTTATGTTCTTTCAGGAAAAGGAGAATCTTTGTAATCTGGAAAAGAAATATTCCAGCCTCTCAGGTGGGAAAGGGTTTCCTGTCAACTCCAATACACTAAAAGAGGTAAGTTAGGACTTTGTATGTCCACCCATAAGACCTTATAAGTTTTACGTGATTAACTGAATAGTTAAAACATTGTGACAAATACAAGCCCCTAGAGCTTTTATGGCTTTTCTTTCAATATGTATGTTTTTAAGCTTTCAGGCATCATCTTGGAAAATAATAATGACCAACTCTGTGTTTGTGTGCATGTGTACGTGTTTGTGTGATTGTATGTGAAAATGTGTACTTTCCTTAGCAATGAAACTATGAATTAACTTGAAGTTTCAAAAATGTTAATAGCCAGACCAAAAATAATCTTAATTTCTCTTCCAATTTTTTTTCTTACTTCTTCCTTACTTTTCTTTCCCTGGAGTCATAAAGAAAATGTCATAATAAAGATACAACAAACATCAGGAAATGGTCTGGTTTCTTTCTTTTTTTTCAAAAAGCAAAGTTGTTTCTCTTTTTTTCTTTCTGTTTACACTTACCCTTATACATCCTTTCTCCTATATAGTCGTCTTTTCCCAAGCCCCGTGGCCACTCTTTCCCACATATTTTCTTATACAGCTGTACTAGTACCCTGGCATGTTGTTGTTGTTTTGTTGTGTGCCATCAAATCAGAAGGAACTCATAGCTGTTGGTCACTTCTGACTCAATGGTATGTAACAACAACTAGTACTAATAGAACAGTTACCATCAAGTCCATATTGGGTCAGATGTGACAAATAGCTTCCTCAGAAGCATTTGGTGAAAGAACTTTTACAAAAGCTTCATTAGATCATACAATTTCTTAGATTCTCTCCATTAATAAAAAAAACACTATGCTATAGTACTTTTTTCCATAATAGCAACAATTCCTTGATTTTGAATTTATTTTTTTTATTTCTGTTTTCTTTATGAAGATGCTTACTTACCACTAACCATTTTGAAGAGGACTGAAAATTTATTAGTATTTATAACCTTTTTCTTAAAAAAATTCTTTCGTTTAATATCTAAATTTTGTGTAAAACATTAACAGATTATTTTACTGTCTGTTTTATGAGAAGTTACCATGGTCTACTTAAAAGCATTCTAATGGAAGGTACATATTTTTATAATTTTTATATACTTGGTATTCTAGGTCATTAAGCAAAATGCATGAAAATAATTCCACAAAGCTTTATCACTAGTCAGTTTCACTGGAAAATTATTTTTTTTCAATTAAGGGTCAATTTAAAAATTATAAATATGTAATTGTGTGTTTGTTTAATTAGCTCCATCCTCTCTCCTGCATATACCTCTTGGGGGCATAAAATAATTCATCACAACAATTTTGTGGTCTGTACTAGGAAGCTTTGGTGTCATGGCTGCTGACTCACAAATAGTTGGTCAAATCCACCAATAGCTCCAAGTAAGAAAGAGAGGCACTCCCCTCTTAGGCGATTTATGGCCTCTGAAAGCCTGCTGAAGGGTAGTAGAGTAGGTTCTGACTCAATGGCAATGACTTTGAGCTTTGATCCTCTATACTGGATCCTATGTGCAGTTAAGCTCATCCAGTTTTTGTTCACCTAGAAAGTGATTCTCATCAAGCAAAGCTGGAAAAGTAGAAGTTCCTGCCAAACTAGTAGGATTCAACTCATAGCTGACCCTCTAGTGGGTTTTCAGAGGCAGTAAATCACATGAGAGAAGAGTGCCCTTCTTCTCCCCAAGAAGAACCTGCTGGATCCAAACCATATGTCTTTAGGATGGCAGCGCTACTCCTTACCACTAAGCCACCAGGGCTCCCTGTTCCTGCTTCAAAGACTAGAAATCCAAATCCGTATGGACTCTAGGGAAGGATTCTTCCTTGTTGAGTATTCCTCAACATTTCTCAATCTGTAGACAGTTCCTCACACAGATCTCTTCCTTCTGTGTGATGTGTTGTCTGTGTCTGTTCTCCCTATTTTTTACCTGGACCACCAATAAAACACAGCCCAGAAAGAATTAGGTTTAGGACCCACCCTACTCCAATCTAAGCTCATTAAGTAAGAATTAGAGAAAAGCCCTGTTTCCAAGTAGGGACATATGCAAAACAAAATTAAAAAAAAAAAAAACAACAAACAACTAATGATGGAACCCATTACTATGAATATTAGAACTGTCCCATAGAATTTCCATGGTTATAATCTTCATGGAAGCAAACTGCTCATCGTCCCCCTGAAGAGCAGCTGGTAGTTTCAAGTGCTGACTTTTGGTTAGCCACTAAGCACTTTAACCTACTTCTATGCTTGACATTAGGTGTCAAGTCATGTCTGACGTACAGTGAGCCTGTGCATAGCAAAACAAGACCTTGCTTGATGCTGTGCCATCCTCTCACTCTCTGCCACACGTAAGCCCTATTGTTGGCACTCATGGCATCAATCCATCTTGTTAAGGGCTTTCCTCTTTCTCACTGACTTTTGACTTTTCCGAACATGATCTGCTTCTCCAGGTACTGGGCCAAGCATGTGAGAGAACATCTCACCATCCTTACCTTTGGGGAGCACTCTACACTTCTTCCAAGGCAAATTTGTTAGTTCTTTTGGCAATCAATCAGTACTCTTCCTCAGTACCACATTTCAAAGGCATTCATTCTTTGAGCTTCCTCATTCGTGGTCCAACTTTCACATGCATATGAAACAATTGCAAATACCATGGCTTGTTTAAGTCATACCTTAGTTGTTCAACTGACACCCTGGCTCTTTAACACTTTAAGGAGATGTTTAGCCTCAAATTTTCCCAATTCAATACAGTCTTAGATTTCCTGATGAGATTTGTTGTTAGATTTGACAACTCTTGCTAGTCTCATTGATGGAGAAGGGTGGTGAATGCTGAGATAGGGAAGATTAGGAAAGGATGGGTTTTAAAGGGAAAATTTAGAATTTTATTCTGAATATACAAACTTGAAGGTAGTATACAAAACCGATATCAGTCTGGAGACTAAAATGTGCCTGATCCCGGCCATAGTCTTCGTATTTGTGTGCTATGAATCAGAGCTGGACAATGACTAAGGATGATAGAAAGAGAATTGATGCCTTTGAGCTGTGGTGCTACAGAAGAGTGTTGAATACACCACGGACTGCCAGGTGAACAAACAGATTTGTACTAGAGAGGGTGAAATCAGGCTGCTCCTTGGAGGCTAGGATTCTTTTTTTATTATTATTTTATTGTGATTTATTTACAGTTTGAATACATTGTTTTTCACAAAAGATCCTTCCCATTTCCTTCACTCCACCCATCTATCAAATTGTGTGACCCTATGATTAACACCCTAACCCCCACCCATTCACATCTCTCTGTTTTCACCCTCCCCCTCACCTTAGATTCTCATACTCATTCTACAATAATAGTTTTATACAGCATTTGTCCTTGTGGGTTCACTTCGCATAATGCTTTTCAGTCCATCCCAAGTTAGGTAGTAATTTACAAATTCATTGCTCCTGCGTGCTGCATAGTATTCCATTGTATGAATGTACCACAACTTCTCAAACCATTCATTTGTGGTTGGACATGTGGGCTGTTTCCATTTTCTTGAAATGATGAAGAATGTTGCTATGAACATTGGTGTACAAGTATCCGTTTGAGCCTCAGTCCTCATTTTCTTGGGGTATATTCCAAGCAATGGAATAGCTGGGTCAGGTAGAATTTCTATGTTCAGCTTTTTGACGAAGCACCAAACTGCCTAGAGTTGTTGTGCCATTGTACAGTTCCACCAACAATGTAAGAGTTCTTGTCTCACCACATCTGCTACAAAATGTATTACTAACTGTCCTGTTAAACTTGGAGGCGAGGATTTTGAAGCTTCCTCTGACATACTTCGGGCAAGTTGCAAGGAGGGATCATTCCTTGGAGAAGGACATCATGCTTACAAAGGTGGAGGGACAGAAAAAGAGAGGAAGACCCTCAATGAGAGGGATTGATTCAGTGAGTGGGGTATTGAGGTTAGGTGTGTCAGAGACAGTAAAGTTGGCACAGGATAAAGCAGGTTTCAGGGCTAATGTATATAGGGTTCACTGTGAGTTGTAAACAACCCATTGGCACCTAACAACAACAACATACAAAACCTACGTGTATTCTAAGTCTTTAATTTCCTAATAGAAGAATAAAATCTTTCTTATTCTACTTCCTCCCAGTTCTTCTCCTGTATAGACTTTTTGAGATCAAAAGCGTGTTTGTTTTGCTTGTGGTATTCTTTCTGTAAGTCTATAGTTCTCATGTTTTTTGAGTAACTATGTGTTTGTTCTCTTTCCTGTCTCACACAGCCTTGACTCACATCTTATCAAAGATGTTTTTGTGACTGACTTTCTTTCCTTCTCTCTTTTTATTAAGGAATGATTACTCTTTTAAACCATTGTGCTTTGACAAACAGTACATGTTTTTGAAGCAATTAATTGGCCTGTGGTCTGTGTACAGTCTATGATCCATATAAGGAATCAAAATTTAGTTTTACAGAAAACTTTCTCCTGTCAATTAAGCAAAAGAATGATATAGTCTTGTTACTTTTCATTCTGACTCATTACCACAAAAAAAAAAGTAAATTCTGACAGCTTCATTTGATGACTCCCTATTTTCAGTTTAGCCTTATAAAGCTTTACATGCCATCTATTGCCTCCCTCTGGAATGCAAGACTATATTTAGGAGTGTTTTTTGTGCTTCCAGTCTATAAACAGTCAAGTCTAGGTTTCTTTAGTTTTCCATAACGAGAAATCTCATTATGAATTTTCATTTCCAGGCCAGATTTCTCATCTTCACTGGAGCTCCTTTGGGGAGGGATTGATGGACGGGTACAAGAAGCCATGTGTCAAATTTAATTGATTTTTTTATATTTCATAAAATAATTTTTTTAAAAGTGGTATTACTTTATCCCTTGTTTAATGCTGGTTTATTGGAGTCATGGAAATAAAAATTTGTCTGTACATTTATATGTCATAGAGATTTACTAATGCCAAAAAAATATTTACTAGTGCCTTTTGCACAACTGTAGACTTCGGAATTTTTATTTTAGTGTATTTTATTTATAGATATTTTCACCAAACTGAATTGCAATTATTGTACTCAAAAATTATCGAAAACTACCTGTTGTAAATTTGAAAGTGGGGCTGTGGAAGCTGCTTTGAATGTTCCAGTTGAAACATCCTGGGATTGCTATCCACTCTTGGGGGTGTGCGTTTGTATGTGTGTATGTAAGAGAGAGACTGTGCATGTGTTTTTATTTTCCTAGAAAAAGACTGTTTGACTAAGAAGGTTGCGTTCTTTTTATTATTTGGTTGAAGTGCTCAAAAACCAAATTTTATCACAAATAAATTACTGGTGCAGAAATGTCATATTGCAAAATTCAGCGTGCTTTAATCCAGTACTTTGTATACTGTAATTTGTTAAGAAGCAGAAAAATAATCTATACCTGAAGATTTACCAAAAAGACTCATGTATTAGAGAATGAGTGGTTATGTTGTAAATGCTACATTTTAGAATGATTATGTGTATTTGATCACTTTAAGAACGTGTGTAATAATAACCTCACTCATTGAACGTTTTAAATGCTGATACCATAAGTATTTTCAACTCAAAGGTGTGAGTTGTTTATAATGTAGTTATAGTGATTTCCTCAGGAAAAAAATTAATATTTGTATTACCAATTTTTCAGGTTAAGCACTTTAAATCCATTTTAATTGCTGATTATTCCTCTAATGAAACATTTGATAATATAGTTTTCTGGCTGTGCTGCTCTAAGCTAACTCCATTGTGCTGGGAGCATTAATACTCTCGCATGCCTCAGCTCTTGGCTTTCTTTGTGTCTAACTTATGAATTCCTCCTTTTAGGGCTATATCAGTGTAAATGAAATTAATGAGCCATGTGGCAATTCCACGAATCTATCCCCTTCCACTCAGTTCCCTGCTGATGCTGATGCTGTTGTCACTGAGCCTGCCACAGCTGTGCTGGGGAGCCAGCCACTGAATAAAGAGGTGTGTTAGCATGCCATTTCATTCATTCACTGCTTTATCTCATGTCAAAAATTAACCCACAAGGAGCAAAAAATGAGAATGTGTGTGATATTCTCTCTTATGTCTGTTTGACCAGAGAGAAGAGAGATGGAAAACGAGAATGTGTGTGATATTCTCTCTTATATGTCTGTTTGACCAGAGAGAAGAGAGATGGAACTTGTAAAATATACCAGTTTGGGAACACTGCTATATCAAAACTGAAATGCTAGAATGTATGACGTGTCTGGTGCAGAGTGAAGATGAGGCTAAGAATACAAGGAGGCTTAAATCCAAAGAAATAAAGTTGTCTAAGCACTCCTAACCTGACCTATGATTTCTGAGCCATGTCAAAAGCCTTTTTAAAATTGTTGATTTGAGTCATCTTTTCAGTTTAAAATTGTTGATTTGAATCATATATCCCACTTGATTTGGTTTTTTCTACTTTGATTTGCAGTGGATATTTTTGTTTTAATGCTACCTTAAAAAAAAAATTGGAGGGCATTGCCCATATTATTAATTAAAATCCTTCATGCAACCATTTGCATGTAGTTTGACATTTTAATCAGAGGCTGAATTGAAATACATCATTGTTCATCATTTGTGACTTCTGGGTAAAAATATAGCCAAAAACAACCATTTAGGTGATTAGGTAACTGCTTTAATTTCTGTATTGGTTTTACTTTTTTTGTTTCATATGGACACATCTATATTTTTTCTTTCTCCTACAAAGCAAAGATCATCTGTCTGTTCTGGATTTGTATTTCCTTCCACACTTTCTTCTCATCCTATCACTCAAACTTCATCAATCTCTTGGCCAGAAGTCATGGCTTCATCTGTCGATCCTTTTCCTTTAAATGATACACCTCCTCCTCTACCAGCCAAGAAACACAGAAGGCAGCAGCAGCCAGAGCAGCAGGTAATCAGGAACTGGTGCTTGGAGCTTGGGAATTTTACTTTAACAACCAGATTATTTATGTGGAGTCTTTTCTTTAAACACAAATGTGTTTGGGTTTCAGGCTTTTGTTTCTTTTGGGAATTTTTTAAGGCAAGCTGCATACTCCTTTCCTTTTTTTTAAAGGACATTTAGCATGTTATAAGGATACATGTTATTGTTGTGTGTCATCGAATTGAAAACAACCAATAGCGGACCTTCCAGTGGGTCTTGGAAGGCTGCAAATTGCATGGGAGAAGATTTCCACCCTTCAGCTGCAGAGTATCTCATGGATTCAAACCGCATGCCTTGGGATTGCAGTGCAGCTTCTTACCACTAGGACAATTTCAAGTCCTTCCTTGATTGTCCCTCCCTGGATTTTGGTATATTTGAGCAAGTTTTATATCCTCAGGTTTCAATTCCTATTCAACCACAATATTTCAAATGACCCCAGGTGTTCTTCAGAATAGTCATTGTTATTTCCATAAAAGCCAGGATATAAGAAGTTGCCTTGTTTGTGCAAAAGAAAAATAGTAACTTTTAAGACATTGTTTTCTTGATGTTTTGAAACTTTGGTGTCAAAATTTGCTAAATATTTCACAAATTTCTCATTTCATCCTTAGAAGAGTATCCTGAAATAAGATTTATGTCCACTTTGACATCTGGGGAGCTGAGACTCTGCCCAGTAAATCTAAGCCTGGAGTCCAAGATTAAATTACAAGTAGTGCATTTAGTTCATAGACCAATAGTTGTTGTAACTTATTATTTTATTGTGGTTATATAACGAAAGTGAGACCTGGTGGCCTAGTGGGTAAAGAGTTGTATTGCCAACCCAAAGGCAAATAGTTTGACTCCTCCAGCTGCTTCATTGGAGAAAGGAAGAAAGGTGCACAATCTCTTTTTCATGTGATTTGCAGCCTCTGAAAATTGGCTGAGTGGGTCAGCTATGGATCACTTTGACTTGATAGCACATAACAACAAGAATAATGTAATCAAATACCAGTTAAACCATTTTTTAAATAAATTTTTTATTTATACTGGTTTTCTTACAAAGTTCCTATACATTGTTTTCCACATTGGATCTTTCCCATTTCCTTTACCCACCCCTCCCTCCACCCATCAAATGGTGTGACCTTATGATTACCCCACCCCACACCCACCCATTCTTACCCCTCTGATTTTACCCTCTCCCCCTTGAATCTTCATACATATTTTACTAGTTATCTTTCTATTTCTACAATAATGGTCTTAAACAGCATTTGTTCTTATGGGACTGAGTTCACTTAGCATAATACTCTCCACACCCTCCCAAGTTAGGTAGTAATTTTCGAAATCAGTGCTTCTACCTGTTCCATAGTATTCCATCATCTGAAGGTACCACACTTTCTCAATCCATATGATTGTGGTTGGACATTTGGGCTGTTTCCATGTTCCAGTTCAACATTTTTACTTGTGGAGTTGAGTGATTCTAGTTATGTTCACCATATTATACAACCACCATCATTATCCATTTCCAATTTTTTCCTTCATTCTTAACAGAAATGCTTTGCCCCTTAAATAATACTGCCTCATTTTTCCTCCCACCCACCCTTGGCAACTATTAGTAAATGTCATTTTCTATGCATTTACTTACTCTATATAATTCTTTTTAGTAGGATCATGCACTGTGTGTCCCTCTTTCAATACTTCCTTTCAGTTACTATGTGTATATGATTCTGGTGTCAGAAGGCCCTAAGGCCACTAGATTCCAACAACCTTTACTACCCTTTACCTTCTGTTAAAGGAATTCTATTTTCCCCACAACTTTCAGATACCTAATGAGTTTATTGAAATAAAAAAAGGAATTGGTGAAAAGCGGTTCCAACAAGTGTTATAAGGAAGTAACAAGGAGAATAAAGTAACTAATTCCATTTTTGTGCTATGTTTGTCTCTCTAATTGCTACATTTGGGGTAAAAGATAACTCTAATATCAAAATTGTTTTCAAATCTGGGTTTTCTCTTCTGCATTTTTTTTTTACTAAATTATTATTTACCCTGAGTTTTCAATGTGATCACTTTTCTATTGCATTACGCTACCTATTTTGGAAAACTAGAAAGTTTTGAATTCTGAAAATTTGTGACATTTAGTCATAATGAGAACACAGTTGAAAATTTCTGATACACTTTTTAAAATAAAATTATAACAATCCTAACAACAGTATGTTAGTGTTTATTATAATAAATTGAACTACATGAGTTTGAATTACTGCTCTGCAGCTTTCTAGTTATATGATCTTTGGTGAATTTTTTTGTTGGTTTTTTTTTTTTTAAGTTGGGCAAGTTTTTATGATATCTCTCTGCCCCATATTATTCAAATAAAAAGCAAGACTAAAAATTACCTCTGTCTTAGTTTGAGAATTACATCAAATAATGTACGTAAAGCAGCTAATATAACATATGGCATATAGTTGAGTTCTTAATTATTAATACGGTTATCAGTATTTGTACTATTTATTAACTCATATGTATTATATGGTATAAATATTGATTTTGTAAGAATAGATGATCATAACCATGCGATTAAAATGAAAATTTTTTTGTGATAGGCAAGTTTAATATTTGTACATTTGCTAATTTATATTTGCATTGATTTTTAAATACACATACACACATTTTTTTAAAAAAATCAAATTTAGTATGAAAGTGGTCAAACCTGAAGACTTTTACTAGGAAATCACCTGACCATTGAAGGCAATTTTTTTTTCTTTTGAGTTATGGGTGAAGCCAAGAAAACTGGATAAATTTAAGTCAACAATATCTGGGAAGGTGGTGGGGAAATAACAATATTCCATAGGTAGATTTTTAAATGTGAGGGATTAACATAGGAGCTCTTTGTTTATGATCTGTTTAAATAAAATAATAACTTGGAAAGATGTCTCACGAAGCTGCACTGCAATTCCAGAGGCATGCAGTTCAAATCCACCAGATGCTCTGCTGGAGAAGGAAGGGCAATCTCCTCCTTTACCAGTCAGATCCAATTTGACGGTATACACACACACACACAAAAAAAGAAAGATGTCTCACATAGGAATCTTATGTGTGTTTATGTGACTGAAATATTACAACTGTAAAGCAACTCCCCTGTTTACTCCCTTTTCTCTCTTCCTCTCCTTTCTCCCTTTCTTGTTCTCCTCACCCTGGGATCTGTGGCATCACACAAAACTGTCCAGACAGACAAGGGGAGAAACTGCTTTCTTACTTTGTCCACTGGCTGTCCGCCATCCACATGGCGACCATCATAATCATTTGTAAGTTGTCCTGAGGCCCCAAGGCCCCAGGCACTATGGAAGTCAAAGGGAGATTTATTTATTTATTTATTTATTTTATTCCCCAAGTTCAGTAATAAACTCTACTAGAATCTATGTCTCTTATCAAATGCATACCAAGTCCATTAGAGGTCACAGATATAAGGTTAATAATAATTAAAAATTAAAATTTTAAAACTTCTTTGTAAATGCATTATTATTCTGATTTCCTAAATAGTCTCCTTCATTTAGTCAAGTCTGTTATCTTGCTTTACATTTGTATTTAAAGCACTTTAGAAGTCTGGAAGAAAGGAAAAAACAGCACAGAGAAGGCCTCTACCTGAGTGACACTTTGCCTCGAAAGAAAACCACGCCTTCCGTATCACCACATTTCAGCAGTTCTACTATGGGGAGAAGCACCGCCCCAAAGGTAGGATGTGGGGAGAGTCACCAGATCAGCGTCCCCAAGTCTCCTTGTCATTAGGTGGACTGACGCAGATGGCCTAGGGGTCTGACAACACTACCTGATCGCTCATTATATTCGCCTGCTGTGAAGCAGTTACTACTCAGCTGTATTTTTTATCCTGTCCAGGGGACATTTCAAATCTTACACTCCCCTGTCAAAGAACTTGGTCCAGGGATTTTCTTACCATCACAGCACAGAAGGTGAATGGCATTCCATGTATATGTCAGACTCCCATAACTGCATCTCAGATATGAAAATAAGACAAGAGATAGGCTGTGGGCTCCAGGGATAGTAGCAGCAAATGCTTCCTGAGTCTTGTGCATGGACCTGGCATTAAGGACTAAGACCTTTATGTGGATTGGCATCACTGTGAAGCACAGGCACTGACTATTATCCCTAGTGATAAACTGCTATGTGAAGCAGCTAAGTGACTAGCCCAGTGGCTCTCAGATGTTAAGTAGTGCATCTGGAACATGACAGTGCACAGTCTGAGGCCTGAGTCCTCATTCATCTAGTGGTTACATGTCTAAGAGGGGAGAGGACAATAGGAAGATTCTAAATCAGATAGATTTTGGAGTACTTCATCTACCTTTCTTCCAGGTAACTTTGATTTAATCTTCTAAATGTGTGCTTCATTTATATGTTTATGTACATAGAGAGCCAGCCTATCTACAGAGACCACTAACGCCACTGGACTAGTTAATAGGTTTCTGCAATTTTGTGGTTCACTAGATAAATGGATGTAGATAGAGAATGGAGAATTTATGATGAGTGTAGACTTTTCTTTCTTTTGGCATGATGTGCATGCATTCCCGTCACTGCATCTGCCCTCTGCTTCTTATGCATGGTGAATATTCATTCATTTGTCCTTGAAGGTGACTTTAAACAGTGTTCCACCTGACTTGCTTCCCGCTTGGAATCATTGCCCCGGCAGAATGGCTGTGATGTTTAGATTTCGTGAAGTGCCTAGGGAGATACAACAAAAGGCCTTTACCAGGAAATATCAACCAAACAGAATGGCTTCTCAGCTCTCTGCAATTAAACAGGAGCAGTGGATACAGGGATGTGGCCATTTGGCCTGTGATGTGCCTGACGTTTTCTCTTCTTCTTCTCCCAGGCTCACCTGCCCCTTGGACAAAGCAACAGCTGTGGCAGTGTGCTGCCTCACTCGCTGGCCACCATGACCAAAGACTCTGAGTCCCGGAGGATGCTCAGAGGTACGTACCTTTTAAGTCACAAGCCAAAGTATGCTGTTAAACTTTTCAAGTTTCTCATGGATAGTACATTTGGGAAGGAGGGGTGCTTAGAAACGGAACCAATCCAGCTCTTAGATTCTGTTTTTAATGGGTCTCCTTTGGGGAAAAAGAAAAAAGAGGGAGAGAAAGATCCTCGTTGTATTAAGGTAACTTTTCCTATGTATGCATTCAGTTAGCGCGTTTAAAGCACATTGCTTGCTCATGATAAATCTCATGGAACTTTTAAACCAGAAGACCCTAGATAATTGGTAACATTCTCATGTGATGGAAAGAAAGAAAAGAGAAACTTCTGAGCACCAGTGAGATTACCAGATTTAAGAGAGTATACTTGTTTTGTGGATGAGTCGCAGTGTTACACACAATGAGCTCAGACTGCTGTGACTCCTAGGGTTTTTTGTCAGGTAACTTTTTTTTGAAAGTAGACTACCAAGCCTTTTTTCTTTGTCTTAGTCTGTAAACGGAAAGTTGTTTTATTAACATAAAAACACACAGACCTCCGCTGTGTTGATCCTGGTGCTAAATAGTCCCTGAATTGATAGGGTAACTAGAGCACTTGAAGTTGTTGTGTGCTGTTAAGTCGGAAGTGACCCACAGCTGACCCTCCAGAAGGTTTTCAGAGGCAGTAAATTGCACAACAGGAGATTGCCTGTCTTTTCCCCACAGAGTAGCTGGTGGATTCGAACCAAGTGCCTTCAGGTTGACAGCGCAACTCCTAACCACTAAGCCACCAAAGCTCCATAAATAGAGCACACTAGTGGCTCAGGGTTCACTTAGGCCTTTTAATTCGGGTTTGAGCATTATACTATGTGCTTATTAGGCTCAAATGGAGTTTAGTTTTTTTGTATATTTTATGTCTCTGCAATAATATGTTGCATTTATAATAGAGTTCTAAAATAGTTTTTGTGGGGCTGGAAAAAAGTATGATAATACAGGAATTTATAGAGGTAAACTGTCTAGTTCCCTTGAGTGGGTTAGATTTACTGTGCTAACATAGTACTTTAGTAATTCTTATTGGCCTTAACATTTAGGGAGGCCTTAACATTCTTGGCTACTTGCCAAGAATGCAAATGAACTCATGATCTTTCCCTTGAAATTACCTCGGCCCAGCAAGGAAGAAAGGTACTTAAGCAGGTGATTTTCATAAAATACGCTCAGTGCCATGATGGGAATATGCCCAGATTATAATGGGACACTTAGCATCAGATGCATTCACACATTGATAGCACTGAGACCATTCCCTCTCCAGGCACAGTGGAATTCCGCTCTGACTGCCTGGCCTCTGCTGCTGGTGCCAGGGTAAACACTAGTTTCCCATGGTGGGTGGGTGTTTACATAGAATTTTTAATATATTGTTGTGTGCCATCAAGTTGATACTGAATCATGATAAGATGAAATAGAACTGCCCTTTATAGTTTCCCAGGCTGTAACCTTTATAGGGGAGGATTATCAAATCTTTTTTCTGCAGAATGTCTGAAGGGCTTGAACTGTCACCTTATGGTTAGAAGCCAAGTGCTCAAGCACAGTATCACCATGGCTCCATTTGTGTGAGTGTCTGTGTAATTATTTGCACATATGCTTTCATAGAGATGGTGGCCTAGAAAACCCATTGGAGCAATTCGGCTCTCTTTTGGAGCCCTTCTCATACATGAGGGTCCCATGTATTTGGGCCAATTGATTAGCAGTTAACAAAACAAAAGACTCTGTGTGTGTGTGTGCGTGTGTGTGAATTTATACACACACACATGCAATAATATACGCACATGTCATTGAAATAAACTTTTAAAATTATTCTTAAAAGTGATTTGAGAGTTAGAGACTATAGTATTTATAAGAGAGCTTTACAACATTTGAATCAAGTGCATTTATTTGAAATTCTCTCTTCTTTTCTTTATCCTAAATTCTTAACATGCTAAAAATACCTCTGTGTTTTTGAGCTTTTCATGATGCATAAACTGTGAGGAGAAATGAGTTTATATTTTGCCCCTCATTTGTCAATGTTCACTTGTGGGTCAAATATGTTTTCTGTTGAAAGCATTTTTCCTTAATATTAATAGATTTCTTTTTAAATCTGTTTCTGTCACAAGCTAAAGATAGCAAAGCTTTGATTGGCCACTACAACAACAAAGGCCATTCAGCATGTTCATGGATTTTGTGTAACTGTAGTTTAAGAAAAAAAGATCAAGCCCTCCAGAAATGGAATGTGATCTCAGATTATTACATTCTATGTTGAAAGATGTGGCAGTCTGTCTTATAGACAGATTTACAGCCTTGGAATCTCTGTGGGGCTGTTCTACTCTACCCTGTAGGGTTGCTGTGAATTGCTATAGATTTATTAGCATTGATAACTAACAGATGTTGAAAACAGTTTCTTAAAAATAAAGAGTTGTTAATAACTATGTAAGAGGATTCTTGTCAGAGTAGTTAAAGTGGAAGGGATGTTTGATCTCCATTATTCTGGTTTCTGTTCTCCTCTGAAATCATGGAATCTCCTGCTAGACCCAGATTGGTAAATGGAGCCAGTTCCCTTAGGTCACTTCAGAAAGTACCCTCTGCAAAACAGCCTGTCTTTGATCTGCTGTTTTATGGTCTTGTTCTTTACGGACATGTCTTCTCCACACAAAAGGCTGCAACTTCAGTCTTTCTCTGACACAGCCCTTGAGAGCTTCATGTGGTGCTGATGAAGACATGTGAAGAAACAGAAACATATGTGTACTGATCCAAGCAGATGTGGGGCAAGTGTGAGGCCAGCCTGCCTTCCTGGGCTCCTCCACTCAGAAAAAGACTGGGGACTATAGTGCTTAGAGCCATGCAGACGGTAACATCAGCAGGGGTTTCTGCTAAGCCCATACAGGTGGCCAACAAGGGCCAGATGGAATGAGTCATACTTTCATTTAGAATTATTTCAATAGTATTTGTTGGGTTCACTGAAATAACAAATGCAAGCTAAAACCTCATTTTTTAAAAAAAAATTTGAGCATCGCACATTTTCATTAAATCAGAGTATACTTTATCAATTTTTTAAAACTTACACAATTAACTGAAATAAACTGCTGTTATTTTTTCTGCAATACATAATGGAAACCTCAAGGACGATGGTGTAAGTATAAGTCTTCTTCAGCCTGCACTGTTTAAATAGAACAGACAAGGTGAACGAACTATGCTTACAAAGATCTTTAAAAGGAGAGTTTAAAGCAGAAAGCCCAGGAAATCCACTCCTAAGGTTGTGTAATAGTTATTGGCTTTTGTACAACTTGTGACCTAATTCTTTATAAGCTTTAGAGTGAATGAAATCTTTGTCCTTTTATTTTTTTGTTAAAATGCAGGAAAGTCCAAGAAAGGTATGACAACCTCTCTGTGTGGTGTTTTTTGTTTCCAGCAAATAGTGAAAGGTCAATTTCAAGAATGATCAGATTTAAAGCTGGACAATGGTGGATTTTAAGTCCAATTATTATTATTTTTACAGAATAGAGGAGAGAGTTGTTGCACATTCATTAGAAACAAAATGCTGGGTGCAGCTGCTGTTCACTCACTGGCAGCTGTGTGACCCTCTTTGTTTTTGTGTTTTATTACAAGGGTAGACCTTACAGGAAACCCAAGTGCTACAGAAGCACTGTTTTATAAGACTCAGGATCTGTATTAAGAAAGGACATTCTGATGTATATTACCAAAGTGTAAAATGTGATGAATTTTTAATAATTTGTGAAGGCCAGGTATTAAAAGAAAAAAAACCAAAGGCAGGCTATAGAGTCAGAAAGTGGAAAGAACAAAGGACATTCTTACTCATTCATTCCATCTAAGCCTATTTTATAAGAAAGATTTAGTGGAGACAGTGAAGAACAGTTTCAATGACTAACTAGAATAAGGAAGACGGTTGGTATTGTAGCTAGAGGGCACAGATGTAGGATGTCAGACGGCTTCTTGCATAGTTTGGTGTGCTGTGCTTCAAAGAATTGAATGGCATTTTACAAACTTTAGCTCTTTAAACATATTTGTTACTGTCTGTTTGGAAAAAGAATTGTTCTTGTGATGAAATTTTATTTATATTCCTGTTTTTTTTTTTGGTGGATAGATTATTTGTGAAAGGTGTTTTGAGTGGTTCCCCCCTCATTTGTATGCATGTATTATCAATTCATTTTTTTAACTTCGTAAACTTTCCTCTGTAATTTCAGATTTAATTAAAAATGTGAATATTATGCCTTATTAACCTGCTGTGTTATTATGGGCTAGCATGATTGCATGTTGAAAGCAGTGTATATTTTTCTTGTCCCTTTGTCATCTTTTTTGATCTTTTATCTTTTTTCCTTTCCTCTGTCATTCTCTTCCTTCGTTCCTGACTTGCCTTATACCTTCATCTTCTGGCTGGGGCCTATCTTTAGGAAGAATGAATTTCTCAGCAGGTGAGTCTTAATAGGGTGAATTGTCAGAACTACTGGTGAGTTTTGTCCTCTTAAATTAGGTTATATTTTTAAGCCATCTCATTGTCTAGATTAAGCCCCAGGTAAGCTTAAAAGATATATATGTATATAGCACAAATATGGAAAGGGTTGGCAAGATCTGCTAGATCAGAAAGAAAATTTTAGGCCAATTAGAATTCATAAGCACTGAAAATAAAAATGAGTGAATGAATGGGCCTTGCGCACCCAATCTGTTGATACAAACTCACTGCTGTTGAGTTAGACTGACTCATTGCAAATCTCCAACGGTTTGCTAAGGCTATAAATAAACCTAAGAGGAGTCTGGCCACCTTTCTCCCAAGGAGCCCTTGGTAGATTCGAACCACCAGAGAGAGGTGCACCGTTTGGGTTATCAGTACATCTCCCTATAGACCATCCCTCTCGAGCTCCCTTTTAACTCTCCAGGAGCTCCCACTTCAGCAGAGAGCAGAGAGCTGAAGAGGTTGGGGTTTTCTGTGTGTACTGTGCTTAGTTACAAGCATCAGATATCATCGGTCACACTTTAAG